GTGGAAGGTGTCCTTGCCCATGTCAGGGGTGTTGGAACTAGATGATCTTTAAGGTCCCTTCAAACCTAAACCATTCTATGATTCTATGATCTTAGTGTAGTCTTTGGAAACAGCTAGGCCCCTTCCACTATAGTTGAGCTCCAAAGGCAGCAGGAGCTAAATTTTACATTCAGTCATTTAACCAAGCTGGTACTGACAGTATCAAATACTCTCTTATTCAGAAGCATCCATGAAACTGAGTATCCACTAAGAATTTCAGCAAATTCATGTAACTGGGCCTCATAAGGCAGAAAGACTTTAGATCTGTTGGGCAGCTGACGGCTGGGAGAGAACCCAGGTTTATCCCAAATGGCTGATAATGCAGTTTTGACAAATGCTGGTTAGGACACAGAATTTCTCTTTAAAGTTTCTTATTGCAAATTGAGATTAAAAGCTAAAGACTTGAAGGTTTAGAGGTTTTTTTTTTCTGTGAAATGGGACAAAGTATTGACTTGGGATTGTAACTGCTTTTTAGTATTTAGATGTGTTTTAGATGAATAGATGTTCGATTGTATATAAAGATAAGCAAAGCGTGTCATGGTAGACAACTGGCACTTAATGTTTTTCCTGAAAACATAGCCTGAGTAGACACATTCTTTTAGAAATGTGACAAACTTTCCTGGACAGAAATTTGCTCTATCAATCAAGCATGTTTAACTAATGCTACCTTTGACTGAGGACAAGTCCTGCACTCTTCCCTTCTCCCATCTTTTCCAGTAAAAGATTAAATGAGAGTAGACACATGGTGAGAGTCACTCACTAGCATGCAGCTTTTCTTGATCCTGTCTGCTGGCCATGAGCACCGGAGGAAGTGGCCGAATGGCCAGACCTCACAAAGGCAGCTCCAATAGCGCAGCCCAGCCCAGCGTGGCCTGTGCCAGGCTGACCCACTGTGTGCAGTTTAATTTAAAAATGAGTGACAGAGCAAGGCAAGGTGGGGGATGACAGGACACATAAAAGACTGTTGCAGAGAGGGTGGAAACATTTTGTTCACAGTGGCAGTGGGCAGGACAAGAAGTAATCATAGAACGGTTTAGGTTGGAAGGGACCTTAAAGATCACAGAATGGTCAGGGTTGGAAGGGACCTCTGGAGATCATCTAGTCCAAGCCCCCTGCCAGAGCAGGGGCACCTACAACAGGTTGCACAGGACAGCGTCCAGGCGGGTTGTGAATGTCTCCAGAGTGGGAGACTCCACAACCTCTCTGGGCAGCCTGTTCCAGTGCTCCACTACCCTCAAAGTAAAGAAGTTCCTCCTCATGTTAAGATGGAACTTCCTATGTTCAAGCTTGTGCCTGTTACCAATTGTCCTATCACTGGGCACCACTGAAAAAAGACTGCTCCCATCCTCCTGGCATCCTCCTGGCACCCTCCCTTTAAGTATCTATAAGCATTGATAAGATCCCCCCCTCAGTCTTCTGAAAAAACAAATCCCTCAGCCTTTCCTCATAAGAAAGATGCTCCAATTCCCTAATCATCTTTGTAGCCTCTCCAGCAGTTCCCTGTCCTTCTAGAACTGCGGAGCCCAGAACTGGACACAGTACTCCAGATGCGGCCTCACCAGGGCAGAGTAGAGGGGGACGTCACTCCCAGGTGACGTCCACTTGCTGTTTACTTGCGCAGTACACAGCGACCCAGTCTTGTGCTTACGAAGGGCTCCTTTAGAACTTGGAACAGGTTGCCCAGGGAAGTTGTAGAGGCCCCATCCCTGGAAGTGTTCAGGACCAGGTTGGATGGGGCTTTGAGCAACCAGGTCTAGTGGAAGGTGTCTGTGCCCATGGCAGGGGGGGTGGAACTAGGTGATCTTTAAGGTCCCTTCCAACTCTAACCATTCTATGATTCTGCAATCTCTACAACAGACTTTTATTAGATTTTATTCTTGTATAATAACTACTGCATAACCAGTCTGTATGTTCAAGCAAGTACACTCATCTATGTTAAAAGTATTTATTCACGAGGGCTTTGTTTCAATATCTCTATTCTCTCAGGTTATTTCACAAGCTTCCATAGCAGGGGCCCGTTTTTCCTTTCTGAGCTGTTAGCTATTTTGTACAACCATTTTCAAATCGAATCTGTACTATCTGTTAAACAGTGTCATATCATGAAAACAAGATAGTTTTCATAATAAAATATGGCATTGGTGAGAGAAAGCAGGTCCCAGGTGTGTGAAAAACTGCAAGGAGCACACACTCGGAACTCTGATACTGCATCCTGCTTTAGGTCCAAGTGATTTCCTGGGACCTCAGCATTTGACAGTGTCCTGGTTTGAGGTAAAACAGAACCAATTTTCTGTTCAGTAACTGTACTTTGCAGCTAAGCCTCTTCTAACTACTGAAATTAACTGCATATTGTGCATACACTGTTCACGCTCAGAGTGATAAGACCTATGTTTATAGTTGATGCCAAGGAATGGTATGCAGAGAGGCTCTTGCTTATACTTATTGCTATAACAGCCAAGGTCAGATAACTTTGTTATTTGCCCTGTTGGAGGGTCAGAAGCAGAAAAGCGTAGAGGGGTCCCACCTGCAGGGAGCAACGGACAAAACAGGTGACCCAAAACTGACCAACAGGGTATTCCATCCCATCTGCCTCATGCTCAGTATAAAAGCTTAGGGATCAAAGGGTCAGATCTCTTTCTTCAGTGGCCAGCGTCCAAAGCGGACTCTGTCTGTTCATCTGCCTTTGATCCCAATCCATGCATTCCTGAATCCAGATCCAGAATCCAGTTCCCGTCCATCACTGAGTCCAGCCTGGAACTTTCCCATGCCTGCTGGTGATGTGATCGTCATCCTGGGAGCTTGATATGGTTTTGTATATATTTCAATTTTTTCCCATTTTATTATTTTATTATTAATAATTCATTAAAGTAGTTTAGTTCCTTCTAAACTCATAAGTCTCTCTCTCTCCTGTCTCTCCTTGGAGAGAGAGGTGGGGGGAGCATCTGTCATTCTGCCTGAGTGACCAATCCAGCCCAAATCACGACAGACAGGAGTGCATCCTTAGAAGGGGAAAATGCCATAACTATAGACTGTTAAATAAGAGACAACAACTGGTGCACTCCAGGTACTGATTGCATGGCAGTGATTTTCAACCTGCACTCTGAACTGCTTCTAAAGGGCTGCAAAAGATAGTAGAGAAAAACACATGGTTTTATAATGTACAGCAATGTACACATAAGACTTCTAAGAGGATACAGTCCCAATTGAAAATGTTTAGGGGGTCCACAAACTAGATTAAAAAGATTCGAAGTCGCTCTTGGATAAATTACTTTTTTTTTTTAATGACCCATAGTGTTAAAGAGTATTCTTGCTAAATAATGCAAACAATATCCCAAAGAATAAATTAGGTTTACTAAAACCATAAAGTCAAATCACAAAGTTTAAATTTGCTCAGTTATCTAGGAAATGAAAAGAGAATAATTGCACCGAGAAAGCCAAGTAAATCTCAAGGCATGTCTTTTTTTATAGTTATCACTTGATTTCTGAAGGGCTGTGGTCGTGGGAGTTTTCAGTATGCAAATAACAGAAAAAGTTAGATCCAAGCAAAATTATTCTCACTTTGAGTTTCAGCAAGAATTAAGTACACCTTTACTCCTGGATTTTCAACTCCAAAACTAACAGTACATTTGGTATAGAAGGAACATTCCAGTATTAAATCATTAGTGTGGCCAATGGCTAGTTGATGAAGAAATAAAGGCAACATTTATTTTCCTTTTTAGAAAATTTAAAATATAATTATTTGAAAATAGCATACCAATGGAACACTTTGAGACATAGTATTTCATAATCAGAACATCATTCAGCAGATGATGTGCTAAGTCACCATCACTTTTTAAACAGCTGTAGCACTTTATCAATAGTCACTCTCCAGCTATGCTAATAACTAAGCAGGATAGAACTGCCTGATTGTAAATATCCAAAAAGGTTATTTTTTTTTCTACTGCTAGTTGTGTTGCAAGGATTATAAATATTTATCTCCCATACTCTCGAAATAGGCTTTGATTTCTAAACAAATTTTAAATTCTTTAGAGATTGTCATACCTTTCTTTTCTGCAAATTTTAAATACTTACAAATAAGTTTAACGGGACCTTTTATTCAGACTAAAGTTCATCCATATGCCAGTAGCAGAAAAGAACCTTCACAGAAGAATAGTGCTGTATGGTGGTGTTGTAATCAAGAATCTCTTTGTGCTACTGATGCAGCCTTAATTCTGAAAACTAATCTCTTGCCAATTTCTGCTTTGTTCAGAAATCATTAACTTCATCTGTTGAAGTCTAATATCTGTACTTTCCTTTCAAAAAAGCTTATAGCTTAGTATAATGCAAGTTCATGGGATTTGTATGAGGAGCAGAAGTATAAATTATAGTTGTATATTTACTGTTTACAGTCTAGAAATTCAATAAAGTCAGAGTGTTTACAGATCGAAACCAAGCTATCAAAGAGTCAGTCACACAGGTTAACCAATGAGATTTCAATGTGTTCAGCAGTCAAATCTAATCGTCCTTCACTTGGAGCTATTCAGTCTGAAGTGATAAACATGCTAAATTTTTACAAGGCCAGAAGTAATTAGAAAATAAGTACAGGGTGTGTCCAAGAGAGATTGTGCTGCTTTGTTACTTAAAAGCTTTTTAAAGCATTTTCATAAGCTGCAAACAGTCCCTTCAAATTTATTAAATAAAATAGAGCTTTTTATAGGAGCAGTCCTGTCACTATTCAGCAAAAGTATTCAAACAATAAGAGGCTAAGATGTTGCCTAAAAAAAGTTTCCCTTACTAAAACTTTAAATTCCTTTGAAAAGTTAGTGATACTAAATTCATATGTGCATGTTTTACCACACTGGACATCAGACAGTTTAGTCACATTCATACAAAGTCTCCTAGAATGCATAACCTGAGGCTTAGCAGCTATTGATATACAAAAAGTGTTGAAGAAATTTTTTTTTTAAATGTAGGTTAATTACAGGTTAATTTTCCCAGTCTGTGCAAGACAAACTCTCCTCTTCATCCTCTGATTCAGGTGATGCTTCCTTAATTCTTCGCAATGCTTCATGGATGCTCCTTGTCAGAGGGTCAGTATCAGGCAGAATTGTAAAGGATTCTCTCAAAACATCTTTCTGCACTTTCTTCAGTTTCACCCCTTTCCTGATCTGTGCCAAGATGTTATTGCTATCGTCTTCATTGGGAAAAGGAGGAAGACTTCTCTGCTCAACTTTTCTTAAGTGAAAGCTGCCACGTTTCAAGGAAGCCAGCACTTCATCCATTGGGGAACTCACTGCAGAAAAATCAAAAGACCTTCAGTATTATTTTTACTAAATTTATTCAGTCTTTTGTATTTCCTACAGACCAAAAAGTAGCCACATGCAATTAATGTGATAGTCCCATACCATAAGTATAAATGAGACTGTAGTATTTTCAATTTTATCATTCTGTAGCTCTATTATTGTTTTAGCCTCCAAATTTATCTTCCCTATTACCAGGTCAAAACTGGATTATACAGACAATTATAATTTCTGAAACCAAGTAACCTCATATCAGGCAGGTAGCAGAACTTTTTGAACAAGATGGCTTTCCTGTTTGCACTCAAGAAAATCAAGACACCTCCAATGAATCCAACATAATGAAAGTGTATATTACATTATATTTCTTGACTTTGAAACTCAGGTAATGAGTATGCATCTTAAGTATTGGACTGTGCAGTCACAGAAATGCAAGCACAGAGGAGAGCCTACATTCTCAGCACTTGGATTTTGTGGCTGATTTTACCTACTGTATGACTATTACTACATGCCAGTGAGGGAAGCAGCAGTACAGTCAACTGCAACAGCACGCATTTTCCTGCTCCTCTGGATTCATGTATGTATCAGCACCTAGTCACAGTGTGCCTACATAAATTTCCTTTCTTTATAATTAATGAAAACAGACAAGTAAGATAAAGTTAATGCTTTATCACAAATACTTCCTTTATCACCAATTTGAAACTAGTTCTCTGCAGAAATAAAAATCAGGCTTTGGCTCTTTGAAGAGCTACAAGTAGGTAAGATCTCTATGTCAGAGAATGCAATATAATAAAGCACAACAGTCCAAAATAGCTCCCACACACTAGCACATACAACATGCAGCACATATCAATCAATAGATGAATATCCATCTCCAGGGTTTTTTTTGTATATTTTATATATTTTTAAAACCTGTTTTGCATTATTGAGTGGACTTTGTCCATCAAACTAATGGCCCATACAGTTGGAATAGACACGAGGAAAAGAGAGAAATAAAAGAAGAAAATGGGACTGCACATTTGAAGGAGGAAGGAAGGATTGTAAAATACTCATCTGTCAGAGAAATTTCTGAAGCCACTTAGAGACTTGGAACATCTCAGGGAATACAGAGCAGCAGGTAGAGTGCTGCTGTAGATATTAATGATACTCTTAAGAGGATGGATATAATTTGATTTTATATTTGTCATTTTATGATGTATAATCAAATTGCACACAATACGTTTTATATAAAACTGAAAAAAATGAGTAACAGAAAAATAAACAATAGGACTACAGAAAAATAAAAATGGAGCAAAGCAGCATCAAAATTGATAATGAATTTAAGATACTGTACCTGCGACTTGCAAGACTCATAAGAGCTTAAAAATTCTATAACTATTCAGTTGCTTCAACGTTTTTCAGTCATTTAAGGACAATTCTAGAAGAAACACTCCTTGTTTCTGCCTGATAGACAAAAAAAGTTCTAATTTTGATTTTATCTGGATGAGAGAAAATGCCAATTGAGGGATGTTTTCTGTAGTTGTAACTGACAGAGCCAGATAGAACTTTTAATAAAAGGTTATTACAACCATATTACAGTAGTGTAAACCAAGGCCCACCTGACGTACTGTTTTACTAACAGTTCAGCTGAGAACTTCTGAAAATCACATCTCTGATTTTCAAATAAAAGCTTTGCTCTAATATAGCATGTTTCATCGAAACATCAAGATTATTTTGTTCAAACGTGGCTGCCATTCTCCCTATTTTATATATGGGATAAAGGATAAACAGTTACAAACAAGTAGCACAGAATCACAGTGAAGTTGTAACATCTCCCAGGTCACCCCTATGCTCTATTCACTTGCCTCAGTTTCCAAAGAGGTTTTTGATCTTTTAACTGTTTATTAACATGCTTTGATGAATGATTATAGATTTAATTCTCAATTGTAGTTAAATGTATATATTCTTACTTGGCTCTCAAGGAGACTTGAGAGTTTGTGGATTTTTGTATGAAAATTTGAAGAAACCTTGAAGAAAGCAGTCTCAAGATTTCCTATGTCCCAAGACAGGTATTCATTTTACTAGGTCATAAATTATGTAAAATTATGTTATTAAAAAAAAATGCACCCTTAGGTGAAGCATATAATATTTGCAGTGCTAGCTGTAAACAAGATAGGAAAAAAGAATATTTTGGTCAACGTTTAGCTCCATTTTCCAGCTACTCTAACATGGTATATCATAGGATCAATTTCACAAGTGTTTTCTGTCTAATTGAACAAGTATACCACACGCTGTCATACAGATCCTAACATTTGCTTGAGTTGACATTTGTCACCTGAAAAGTATTTAAAAACTTTCCCATTAATAATTATAAAAAAATCCCAGCATATACTTCTCTATATAATAATTCAAAAGAGGAATTGATGTGCATTACAATTAAAAACACAGAAATGAAAACATTACCTCTCCTCCTGTGTAAACCCTCTAGATCACTGGTCTTCTTAAGCTTCTTCTTGGCATTGACTAGCTGACTGCTGTCAAACAGATGTGCTGTTGGGACACTAGAAGAGCGCTGGACTCCCTTCTCCTCACTCTGATGTTTAACAAAGCTGTCGCTTTTCTCTAAGGATTTGGTGTCATCTTCCTTGGAGGGCAAAATTGGAAGCGGAGGTGGAGGTGGTGGAGGCAAAGGGGGTGGAAGTGGTACTACAGTAACAGTCTCTGGTTGAAGCTCATTACTGGTGAGCGGAGAAGTACTAACTTGAGGCAGTTCAGAGGTAACACCATTGAGAGGTAACGAGATATCTTGAAGTTGTTCTAAGCTTGTGGATTCCTGCACTTGCAAAGGCTGAACTGCATTTTCCAATTCCAACTCACTTTTCTCTTGGATTTGTATGGTTGCTGGCAAAGATTGAAGCTGATCTACACAGGACACTGAGCTGGCTGCACATTTTCTTCTTGCATGAGCCATTCGTAGTCTGGTTGATTTAAGTATTACTTGCCCAGGGTACCGCTAAAGTGAAGAAGTTATTTACAATTAGATAAGTACATGCAACACACTATTTTAGATACCAAGTACTCGTCATTATGGTTTGCCTTTCTGACAAGTAGAATTCATCTACTACTTTCATTCATTTTGCTCTGGGCATAAAAACAAAGCAAATATATCCTCACCTTTATGCAAAAATGATCTGCTTTCTTAATTTTTATTCTTGGTTAAGCCATAATTTACATATGATTTGCCTACTCAGGGATACACATGAGTTAAAGTTAGGATTTCACTAAGAACCAGATTGTACATTCAAAACTGTTTTTTCTGAAAACTAAAATTTAAAATTCCCTCTTGCTTCTCTTTTCTAAAACTGGTCAGTGGTGCTCTCTGCAGCAAAGTCCTCTCTGACCCAATATGCTGTCCTTAGATGTGAACCGTACTGCTTAAAAAGGTATAATCTCTTGAAAATAACAAACATTTTGATAATTTCCAAAGTGTTTTTAATTTAGTTCTTAAATTTGCTGCTTCAATATCTGTCTTTTCAAATTAGCTTCATCCATAGCCATTTTGATGCAAAAGTAAAAACTGCTTCTTAAATGCAGGTCTAAAACATTTTAGACAAATGTGGCAGGCCTAAAGCAATAGAGATTATATCAATATAAATATGCTCATACATAAAGTCAGTTCATTAACAGGTGCTGGTTAAAAATAAGTAAATTTGCTTTAATTTACAGAAGCTATGCAATTCAAAAGCCTTGCAAACAATAAGGATATGAAGAGCTTACTGCTAAGCAAGACAGCTTTCCAGTAAAGAAACTTCTCATATATAGATATCTTTTAATGTATTCAGCAAAACAAAACAAAACAAAAAAGTCTTCACCAATTAATACAGTCCCTGTTTTCTTGCACTTTCATCCCTCTCCTTATTCTCTCCCCTTCATTCCATCTTCTATCCATTTTCTGATACTTACATTGTAATAGGAAGGGGCAGGTATTGGCAGGTGTTATTGCAATCAGTGGTAGTGGGGGTATGTCAGATGATAATGGTCTTTGTGGGAAATACCATTTAGATTATACTTCTTTTTGTAAAGTTTGCTATGCATCTTGTCACAATGTGTAGATGTGACAGCGAACAGAAGCTTATTATGACACTGGGAATGCAACAGCCAGAGAAATTTGCTACCACCAATGCCATATTTTGTAAATTTTCCAAAGAACAGTTAACTATACAATGACAGAAAATAGCTAAGAGCATAGTATAGTCCCAGAATGAGTGAAAATTTCTTTTGCAAAAGAAATAAGTGGAAAAGAGCAACTCTTCTGTTACCTGCTTAAACGTGCGAAGTCTGTCCAGTGTTTTCTGTCGTTCCTGACAAACCCAGGAGCCCTTTCTTTCCTCTTCAACTTGTAGTTGATCTCGCTTCTAAGAAAATATATGGAAAACGTAAATATTACATCCAATGCTATGGTTAGCATCATAAAACCCCCAACTTAATTAAAATAAATCTTCTACTAATTGTTAGGAATTACCTAACAATCTACTACTCAAATAAATACATTTCTGACCTTCAAAAAAATATTGTCTTAAAAAATATTATGCATTTCATGTTTTATAACCTTGAAGAAATGCATAGCTCAATAAAGAAAGATTTAAACCTGGAACTGGAGCACTTGAAGACTAGAAATTTTTACCTTGAAAGATGATAAATAACTAGAGATGTAACAGAATATTATACTGAAAAAAAAATCCCATAAATTTAAAATTACAGAATCACAGAATGGTCAGGGTTGGAAGGGACCTCTGGAGATCATCTAGTCCAAGCCCCCTGCCAGAGCAGGGGCACCTACAACAGGTTGCACAGGACAGCGTCCAGGCAGGTTGTGAATGTCTCCAGAGTGGGAGACTCACTCCACAACCTCTCTGGGCAGCCTGTTCCAGTGCTCCACTACCCTCAAAGTAAAGAAGTTCCTCCTCATGTTAAGATGGAACTTCCTATGCTCAAGTTTCTGCCCATTACCTCTTGTCCTATCACTGGGCACCACTATGTTTATGTTAGTCAGACATGACTTCCCCTTACTGAATCCATGTTGACTACTTCTGATAATCTTCTTTTCATCCAGGTGCTTTGAGATGACACCCAGAACAAGCTGCTCCATCATCTTTCCAGGGATGGAGGTGAGGCTGACCGGCCTGTAGTTTCCTGGGTCATCCTTCCTGCCCTTTTTGAAGACTGGAGTGACATTGGCTATCCTCCAGTCCTCAGGCACCTCACCTGTCCTCCAGGACCTTTCAAAGATAATGGAGAGAGGCCCAGCAATGACTTCCCCCAGCTCCCTCAGCACCCGAGGGTGCATCCCATCAGGCCCCATGGATTTGTGTATATCCAGTTTATCTAACTGATCTCTAACTTGCTCCTCATCAACCAAGGGAAAGTCTTGCTTCCTCCAGACTTTCTGTTACCTGCAAAGTCTGGGTCTCTCGAGGACTGGCCCGAACAGTGAAGACAGAAGCAAAGAAGGCATTCAGCAACTCCGCCTTCTCTGCATCATCTGTCACTATGGCACATGTCTCGTTCAACAGTGGGCCCACATTTTCCCTAGTTTTCCTTTTGCCTCCTATATACTTAAAGAAACCCTTCCTATTGGCCTTGACATCCCTCGCCAGGTTCAATTCCAAGGCTGCCTTGGCTTTCCTTGTTTCCTCCCTGCATACCCTGACAGCGTTCTTATACTCTTCCCAAGCAGTCAGCCCCTTCTTCCACCTATTGTAAACTCCCTTCTTCCACCTGAGCTTTTTCAGAAGCTCAGCCATGCAGGTCTCCTTCTTCCCTTGCTTGATTTCTTTATCTTTGGGATGCACTGATCCTGAGCTTGGAGGAAGTGATGCTTAAATTGTGTAAGTTAGTCAGACAGGAAACCAGTATCTATTTTCTCTCATTCCAAAAACAAAATGACGGTTCAAATTGCAAGGCTGCACTTTCAGAAAAAGTCATATTAAAATTTTTACAGTGCAAGAAATCACAGAACTCGGTGCCACAAAGTTTTGAATCCAATATTGAGCAAATTAAGTAAACATTTTCATTATAATTTACACTAGTAAACTAAAGTTTACTAAATTAACTTAACCTGTCCATCTTGATTTTCTGTAATCTTGAAATAAAGGTTTGAAGCTCTTTCTTGCATCTAAGACAGTTATATTTTTTCTTGTTTGGAGATCTTACCTCAGTGAAAATACACATTTGGATCCACCTCCTTTAAATAGTCATCCATTTTCACAAAACTTCACCAAAGTTACTACATCTTTGAAACAAAACACTATGCTTCAGTCAAATTTATTGAAAGTGGACACTAGTTATCAGATGGCAAAAGTCACTATATGTATAACTACAGAATTTATCAGGAAAAGTGATAGGTGACAATAAAGAAAACCACCTGAGCAGAAACAGCAGCTTTAATTCTTAATAGACTCACAGCATTAAGTATTACTTTTTAAAGATGATCATCATCATTAAATAAAATGATGTTCTTTATAAAGCGCCAACTCCTGTGATTTCAAGGGAGATAAGTATAGATTCGTAAGGGAGAGGAAGAGGACATGTCAGAAAAATGGTAAAGACAGGAAACAGAACTAGAAGCATGTGGTGAAAAGAAAATAACTGAGCAATGGGGCAAAGAAGTTAAAAGAGAAGCATAAAAAAAAGATTATAGCAAGAAGAAAGGACAGTTCTACCACCACCACACCTGCATGTTTCGTATGCCATCAGGTCAAACTTTTCCTGAAGCAGTCTCAAACTCAAGGGTTATTTTGTTTGTTTTGGGTTTGGTTGTTGAGGGGGTGGGGGGAGTGGGGTGTTTTGGTTTTAGGGTTGTTTGGTTTGTTTTTTGTTTTTAAATAAGAATAGTGAAATTGCAATTCTTATTTGGTTTCAGGTTTGGACACCTTTGAGGTTTTCAAAATTTTTCATGAAAACCAGTGGCTGAAAACCTATTTTACAACAATTATCAGAAATATTCAGTCAAATTATTAACAGAAAAAAGACAAAAAACTAGCATAAGGTTCTTTATAAAGTGCAAGTGGGCAACTCCATGAAATAAATAATGAAAAAGCCCAGTAGTGTTTCAGAGACAAACCCGTCCTTCAGCTTTGTCGTCTTATTTTTAAGAGAGTGATAAATGGACTGCAATCCACATAGCAAATTCCTTTGCCTTATTGTAAGAACTGAAAAAAACCCCTATTTTTCTAACTTTCCTGAAAAGAGTACGCCAATACATATAGTCTTTCACAAGTAGCCTTTTCATAAAATAAATTACACAGCTGATTTCCTGGACAAATGTATCAATGTTAAAAATGTATAAGGATGAAATAGAATCACTCTTGCTAATCTAACTGAAATAAAAAGACTTGGATTTCAATGCATCTTTGTCAGTGATCTTTATTAGATATTGATACTATATCAGCTCCCAAGACCTAGCCCAGTATTTTATTATTCTTTAAGATAAAGTCTAACTATCGCTAAATAAAGTCTAACACAACAGTCAGACTAGCTAGCCTATTCTCTGCAATGAGACTGTGCAGAGAATCATGGAGCATACAGCTGGAACTACATACTTTATACAACACAATTCAAGTGATTTCTGTTGTAGAGAAAAGAAAAACAACGAACAAGCTTATTAAGATTCAAGAATAAATGTGTATGGTTTCTTTACTCATTCCAGCATATCTGAGACTGTACTCAGAGATGTCTGGAATCATCTATGTGCACATGATAACAAACTGCATGCAGCCTAACCCTAGCAGTAATCACTTAGACTGTGAACCTAGTATTAATGAACTGTTTTATTTGCTTGGGTTTAATGTCATCCCAACACAGCTATATACTCCCCCTTACCAGCATAATATGATACAGAAATACATGGTCCAAAGATCAAGGATGCACACCATCTTTTTAAAACAGCTAGTACTTCGAATGCTGTACTAATTAATGTATAATGAGGAATGCAAGCTAGTAACTAAAGGCTAAACGCAACAGTAGAAAACTCAAACTTACTAGCTGAATAGTATGGTGTGTTTTATATTCCTCCTCGCTCTGGTGATGTTGCTGGATTTTTTCATTATGCTTTGCAATACAGATCTCCTGTAGAGACATAAAATGTTATCTATAAAATATAAATTTCAAATATCAATTTACAGTGTATGTCACATTTAGCAAACAGCACTAAGAATTAGAAAAATAAAAATTTCAAAGCCCATCTCAGACAAGCTAATTTAACCAAGCTAATTTAACTTACAATAACACCATAAAATGGAAACAAAACCAAGACAAACAAACCCAAACCTATTACTTTTAACTGTCAAAAGAATATATAGAAGTAACAGCTGGTTGAAAAGTTTATTCTACAATACCAGTACAAATGTGGCAAGAAATACTGATTTGTCAAATACTTCATAAAACCATTGTGCAACCCCATGTATTTGTATATATGGATAATAACTAACTCTCAAATATACTACGTATTTCTGTTTAGGCAACTAGGCATATTCCCATTTACAAGTGTCAGTTCATCTTTTGCGTGTACAATTTGCAAGCACAAACATTAATAAAGTTGTTACAATTTTATGCATACAAAAGCAGGTTCACTTATTATACTGAGTTCACATCTGTAATGTCTGGTTTAAAAACAAGCATTTATTACATTGCCTGCGAATAAGAACAGGTTAAAAAGAAAACAGGATGTGTTACAATAGATGACAGGAAGAAGCATAACACTCAAAGTTAAGGTAGTTATATAAAAAGAACTGAATTAAGTATCAGTTGCAAAGAAAAGGCATGTGCAGGAATTTATGGTAGCAAAGAGACAGACAAGTTCACAGGACAATGCACTGAGGGCCAGTAAATCACAGTATGGGCAATTAAATTAGGTACAAGCACCAGACAGAACTAGAACAAGGTCAGATATGCAGTTAGAAGCAGGACTCATGGCTGTGTAAGAGGGGGCAGCGTTAGGAAATAGTTTGGAGCATGACTGCAGCTAGAAGAACACCAAAGTGATGGGCTTTCCAGGCAGCAGTCAGCTTGACTTACTGAGAGGAGCCAGACAGGAGCTTTGCTGTTGCAAGCATTGCTTGGGGCAACTGATGGAGTATCAGCCATCAAGCAAGATACTACAGTAGTGGCAGAAAGACACAAAAAACAAGGAGGGGAGGGATAAAAAAGCCCACAGTTTTGGACACTGGGAACTGCAGAAAAAGCTACGTTCTCCTAAAAGCTATGGATATAGTGTCATCAGGGTTCCTGTACAGGAAATAAATACCATGCTGGCTTGAATGTTTCTAAACAGTAAGACCACCGATTTTGCTATCGTATACAGATAACGCTCCAACAAGAGCAGGGGCTTCTGCAGAAATACTGTCCAAGCTTCATCAGAGAGGTGTGTGTGTATATATCTATATATATATAAACTCTGTTTTCTGTTGGGTTATATGTTTGTTTGTTTGTGGGGTATTTCCCTGATGAAAAGAGTTTAATACAGCTGGAAAAGTTAATCCATTTAATTTGTAACTGCAAAAGTACAAACTACTTAATTTCTACATTTCAAACAAAACTTTGGAACATTATTAGAGAATCTGAAAGACTTTTTGTAATACTACTACTGATTTACCTTTACAGTTTATTCTCTATTTGAGTGTTAAGTTGGATTAAAAGAATATTTAAAGTAACAAGAAAGACCGTCTGCTAGGTGAGGGTTGTTTTTTGTGGGGTTTTTGATATTTTTGTTGTTTTGTTTTGGCTTGTTTGTTTTTTTTCCCCCAGGTTGGCAAGACTAAAAAAATAAAAACAGTATGTAAGATACTTTAAGATGCAAATTACAGGAATATACTCTCATAAATACTTGGGGGGCACACTTTTCTGAAACATTTTCTCTTTAGCATCCATATTTAAATCTTTCTGATTAAAAGCAATAATGAAAAATATTTTAAGCATGTAATGAAAGAGGTTAAACCAGACCAAAACATATTTGGTGCTTTCACAGAAACATTTAGGTTGGAAAAAAACCTTAAGATCATCGAGTCCAACTGTAAACCTAACACTGCCAAATCCACCACTAAACCACGTCCCTAAGCACCACGTCTACCCCTCCAGGGATGGTGACTCAACCACTTCCCTGGGCAGCCTGTTCCAATGCTTGACAACCCTTTCAGTGAAGAAATTTCTCCTAATATCCAATCTAAATCTCCCCTGGTGCAACTTGAGGCTGTTTCCTCTTGTCCTATCACTTGTTACTTGGGAAAAGAGACTGACACCCACCTTGCTACAACCTCCTTTCAGATAGTTGTAGAGAGCAATAAGGTCTCCCCTCAGCCTCCTTTTCTTCAGACTAAACAACCCCAGTTCCTTCAGCCGCATAAAATCTTATTCTACACACAGTAATTGATTCCCTTTCACCATGTTCTCTTCAACAGACAAGATTTTCAAATACCCAGATGATGAAACTACCTCCTCCAAAAAATAAAAACCAACAGTAGAGAATTGTTTCCTATTGTTTTCTTAATCATGATATCTGCTGCTAGAAAGGAGGCATTCTCCTAAGGGAACCTTCAGTTGCGAGGAGGAGGAGTAGTGGTAGTATCAGAAACACAATCTGAAAATCATTAAGCAGACTCTCATCTCAGTTCAGCAATAAATGTTTTGTAATTGAGAGACAGACCAACCAACCTTCAGAAAGAGTTTTACCACATAGTATGTACTTTCCAAATCCAACCTAAAAATATCATTCTTTTCTCCAGTTAGCATTCAGACAGTGCTCATTCTCACCATCTAGACTCCACTTTTGCATCCCATCTGGCTCTTTGTTCTGCATGCTTAAAATGAACTGCAAACTCTTTAGACTAAGAACTCTTTTTTCCTCACAGGTTTGTAAAGTACAATGATCCACATGAGGCACTATAAGTAGTGTTCATTAACAATGTTTTGCAATATCACTAGAATGGTCACTCAAGATACAATGCTTCCATGTGCTTGAATCAAAGACACAGGAGTCTTGATTTTTCAGGTAATTACTAATAAGCTGTATTGGGTTTGTGTGGCAAGGTTTTGGTAGAAAGGGGGGCTACAGGGGTGGCTTCTGTGAGAAGATGCCAGAAGCTGCCCCCAAGTCTGACAGAGCCAATGCCAGCCGGCTCCAAGACAGACTCACCACTGGCCAAGGCCGAGCCAATCAGCGACAGTGGTAGTGCCTCTGTGATAACATATTAAAGAAGGGGAAAAAACTGCTGTGCAACAGCAGCCGGGAGAGAGGAGTGAGAATATGTGACACACCTGGTGCCCAGCCAAGGTCAACTCACCACATAAGCTTAGTAGGGCTCCACATTATTCAGCAGTATTAAGAGCAGCTACAGTAAATACCTCTAACATAAATATCCATCAAAATGGCTACATTCTTTTCTCCTCAACAAGTGCTGCAAAATGGCACACAACTGGTTCTGCCTATTCTTTTTGCTCAAATCAAAATCTTTGATTTCTTCCTGCAAGTTTAAATACATGCTATTCTAATCTGTGATTTCCTTAGTAGCTGAAAGCTAAGTATCTCACTGCAGCCCTCAACTGCAGATAATGCTACACTGGGCAATGAAATCAGCAGAGAGCTGGAACTAGTTCTGAGAGCGCTGTGATGTCCATGCTGTGATGTCCAGCAGTGAAGTTCCACATGGACACATTACCTCAGGTCATGAAAGCAATATAGCCACGTTCTTCCAGCACAATGTTGAGCAGGCATGACTATATTACTCTTACATGCAGACCCAGATGAGCATTACTACCATATACATCTCTGCATCATGTCTCTGTGCACAAGTAGGCATGCTGCAACTAGTGTTACAGCCTAGAACAACTAATTCCTTCAGTTTAAACAAGGTATTTAATCATAGCATAACCTGGAAACAAATGAGCCAGTTGAAGGTGACTAGTTAATTATACAGATAAGAAAGCATACTAAAAACATCTCTGCTCCTGCTTCAGGGTCACTTCTCATCTTGTTAACTCCCATAAGTTAAGTAAGGAACAGCAACTATCCTGTTGCTTTTAAACAGGTTTGTGTATTCCATAAGGTGCCAGTAATGTCTTTTCATGTTCAGGAGAAAATAGCATAGCTATTATAATATAGCCTATATTAATTAGCATAACATGACAGATAGGATCTATTCCTTAAAGTACTAAAAAGCCCAGCTGCTTGATACTTTTTTCTTTTTACAAAATCACATAAAACAAACTCTGAGCAAACTATTTTCCATAACTGGCTAACAAGAGACATTTCTTTTATAATAATTTATTTACAGTCTTCTCCATATTGTGTTAATCAGAGACAAGACAGTGATCGAAGAAATATAAAAAATCCAAAATATAAGATGTATCAACTACTGTTTTGCTTCAGATTTAGGTATAGAAATAGATATATTACTTATGAAGGAGAGTTTATATTACTTATGAAAGAGAGGAAAAAGTGGCCCTAAATAGCATAGTTCTACAAATTAAGAATACATACTGGATTTTGTGTATATTTCCTGAATATAGAGAATCAATGACACATGACATAAGTTTAAATGGATGAAGTGAGAGAATGAAAATAGAACTCATTAGTGAGAAAACACCCTTGATTCTCTTCTGCAAATACTACTCTGTAAAAACATGCATTCTAGCATGTACTTTCCACATGAAAGTATTCTAATTCCTTAATAGAAACAAGTTTATTTGTTGACTTATAAGTGATTAAAGGTTCCTTTAAAGCTAAAAGGTAAACTGAACCTTAAATATATCAATTTAATAATATGTGCTATTGTACTTGGTACTCTGTAAAACAACTTTAGAAGTAAATATAATCCACAAAAATTCTGAGAGACTTGGAAGTTGTATCTGAAATTAAGTATTTTGAAGTTTTATTAAATTTACTAATTATGATAGAAATTTGCAACTTAATACCTTCTTATTTCTGAGGTAGGCTTTCTTCGCTGAAATATGTCCACGCCTTGCTTCCAGCTGGCGGATTTTTTGTTGTAACTTTTGCAGCTCCTCTTTTTGAAAGTGTACAGATGTTGCCATATCCTCTTTTTCAAGCATAGCTTCCATACTTTCGTAAGTGTCATAATATACCACTTCATCTCTCTTCTCTGTTTTAAAAATGTCAGCAATGAAAAAGTCAAATAAATAGTTTGTATTTGATTAACATTTTATTTTGTTCAACAACCCCACCCACCACCCCACCCCCCCGAGTTGTAAGATTTAATGCAGAAGAATGCTATAGTTCTTTCAGAGGAAGAGCAAAATCAAAAGGTCAGAGGAAAAGCACTAAAGAGCCAAGCACTATAGAGCTTTAAAGTTTATATGAAGAACAGAAATCAATACCAATGAAGCACAGCCTGGTATTTAGCTAAGCTCAGAGCATTAAAGAACAAATGCAACCGTAAATGTACACTTGTGTCTGTAGCCTAACTTGATCACAATGTCCACATGTGGTTTTGGGTCTCTTAACTAATACAAGGGACCCGCGATGTGCAGCAATATCCTATAGTCTTCACTACAAAGTTTGGGATATACAGACTCTTTGGCATGAGATTCTTCTGCCACAAACCTACTATTAATTTCATGAAAGGGGAATTAGACAACAAAACACCAAAAATCGTCTCTTAGGAGGTTTTTGACCTCCCAGTCACTGCTACTGCTCAGAGGCTGCAGTGGGAGGGTAACTTCAAGGCAATCCTTCAAAGCATTACAGGCCTGAAAAGGAAGTCATTACTAATAGTTGTATCAACACGCATCAGTTTTAGACTCCTGAGTGAAGTATTCAGTATAACATTGAGCTTATTTCTGAATGCTGCCTTCTCATCTCTTGCCTTTTTTTTGAAAGAGTGATTATTATAAATCCTTGCATAATGTTGGGATGAAGAAGCAGCAAAGGCTTCTTGTTCCTTATTTCACTGGCATACTAAGTAGGATATTTTTGTAATACACCAAGAGGGATATGCATTACTGCTGGCTGAAACAGGTAGATACAGCTGGCATGACTGTCAAGTGTCTACTCTGCAGCACCACCAAACCTTCTCATTTCAGTTCCATCAAATATCTTTCAGGAAGACTGTAACTTCCTCCTACTTCCGCTACTAGATTATTTGGGGAGAGGGGTTTTCTTCAGAACACTGTCCATTTTAAAATCTGTTGTCACTTTGTGTTATTTGTGTGTAAGGTCTCTGCTGCAACCAAAATTCTGATTGTGTCATGCTAATTTCAGCTCAGCACAGGATATGGCAGGACCATAAAAGAACGAACATCACTATATTAACCCTAAAATAAAAACTAATAGAAACAGACTTACTTGAGTCTTTACTTTAATGCTCAGTTAAAAAAAAAAAAAAAAACAAAAACCAAACATAAAATTTCATGCATTTGTAAAACAGGCAAGTCATTAGAACCCACTTTGAGACATCAGTGAGTAAAAACAGAACTCATGGCTAACAACAACTATATTTTGCTACACACTTATAAAACTGAAGAATTTACATGCAAATTTTGTTTTAGAACACTTTCATGCAGAGTTAAAGATAGGAATTTACAAGTGAAACCCCAATAGCTCAGCTGCAAATGAGTCAAATCTACCAGTTCTAAAACATAACGCTAAATTATGTTTGAAAAAAACCTTGGCAACTCTATTGCAACCTCCATCAAACATTCCAAGAGTTTTCTACAAACAGCTTTTGAGCTTTTCAAATGCCTATAAATTTGCTAAGTGCTTAAGATTCTAACGACTCCACCACTTACAATAAAACAATAAGAATGATTCCTCTTTAGATACAATCCACACCATTTGCACTTGTTCAACCCACCCCCTAACCAAAGCAGGAACCAACTATCACATTCTCTGCTGATAGCAATGCACCCACCACAAAAAACATCTTACAAGGATGTATGGATAGCTTGTATGGATAGGATAAAAGCCTTTAAAATTCTAACCTAATAAATACACATTTTATGAATTACAGTGCAAGTATTTGGTTAATGACAGTAAAAAACTACTACTGTTGTTTATAATATGACAATCTATTATCATTTGATACTTTTCAGGTCCAATGTGCTGAATTTGCAAAATAAAATGTTTTTCTTCTAGTGTATGACCTTGCAAATTCAAACTGGCAGATCAAATCAAATTATGCTCTCAAAAAATTCTTAGGTGGGACTTCATTAATAGTTCTATAGATGCCCCTCAAATCAGAACAGAATCCAAAACTCTCCAAAATATCTCTGCAGAGTCAATACAGTCAAAGAGTAAAGAATAGCAACAGCCTCTAGAAGTCACTAAGACACATGTATTTCAAATCATACAGATGTGCTCAATTAAAAGGTTGTTACTTTACTGATATAATTACACTTTAAAAAGGAAGCATAACAGAAGATGCAACAGACCATTCTTTTCTAATTGACTCCATAGGAAACAACAAATATTAAAAGACCACTATATTTTGGAGACACTTTCATTCAGATTAGGTACAGAACAGTCTTGAAGAGATGTAGCCAATTCAGTGTTGTAGACTGAGTAAAACCATATGTTTGGGTTAATGCCTAGGTTATAGTGACAAGATTAAATTTAGTCATTGATCCTCTAAGAAGGACCATTAATCATTAGCTTTATTGTATAAACCTGATTACTTTGTATAAACAATGCATGCCTTGCTAATGACTATACCCTTGAAGAACTAAATACTAATAAAAAGGGAACATCCTACCCCAGGGGGTGCTGAAAGCTGGATAATTGCTAAGGAAGCATGAAGTCAGCATATCTGTGCATATATTCTAACATTCTACTTTTGCCCAATCCACTCTCACATCACACACCATTCAGCCAATACAATTGTTGATCACGCACTGTTCATGCTCTGGGAAAAGCCAGGATGTTTGCCACCCCTTATCTTGTTTGCTCGGATCTTCTCAGGATTCTTCTGTCTCCTCAAGGGTACACGGGTATCTGTTCAGGGTCAGTGTTAAACTTGCATTTTGATCCCTCGGACCAGCCGAGGTCTCCCACAAACTCACAATACAACCCAGCTTCAAATCTCTTCTTAAGTGACTTTTCTATCCATAACAAAATTTGCTATGCAAGCCTATGCACTAAACAATAAAACAGAGCTTGTGTGAATAAAAATATTAAGTATAAAAAGGTCCAAAGGACAGAATTGGATTCAAAATGCTGTATGATTTACCTGTATTATTTCCATAGTTTGTAAGTACACAGGATATAGTAGGTTCTCAAAACATAAGGTTTGCATCACTGCTCTAAATCAGTGACATGGCAATACAACAAGCTTCAATGTTTAGCTGAAGGATTCTGATTTGCAGGAATACCTTTTGAAAACCAATCACTTCAAAGAAATGAATAATGCCAATGCAAATTTCTTTAATGAGACAAGTCCAGTAATTAAAACATTTCCTCCTCCCTAAATTTAGTTTTCCAAACCTTACATAGTATCTTATATGCTTACTTCCAAACACAGACAATGAGAACCAGACTAAAACTTCTGTATGTGTATGTATACACCTTATGAACAGGTGTAAATTTTAATTTAACAGTACTTATGTTAGAAGATCCAGCTCTTCACATGGTAAAGAAACTGTTCTCATTTCATTCTCACAGGCTTTACTAGACTCTTAGGAAGAGAATTATCTTTTACAGATTACGTCTTAATTAAAATGCATAAAAAGCACCTGACATCAGTCTTCTGATGCTTTCAAGTTGTGCTGTCAGCAGCAGCTCTTCACATTTCAAGATCTCAAATTGCACTTCATATAATTGAAGCTGTAGATCATAATAATCAGCTTCTAACTGGTCCAAATGGGCTATGGCTTCTGCACCACCTTTCAGACTCTGCATCTACATGGAAAGAAAAAAAAAATAAACACACAACTCCAGGATAATATGGAGAACAAAACCAAAATGTAGGCTGGGTGGAGAATGGATTGAGTCCAGCCTTGAGGAGAAGGACTTGGGGGTGTTGGTGGATGAGAAGCTCAACATGAGCTGACAATGTGCACTCACAGCCCAGAAGGCCAACTGCATCCTGGGCTGCATCAAAAGAAGCGTGGCCAGGAAGGTCGAGGGAGGTGATTCTGCCCCTCTACTCCATTCTGGTGAGACCCCACCTGGAACATTGTGTCCAGCTCTGGAGCCCCCAACATAAGAAAGACATGGACCTGTTGGAGAGGGTCCAGAGGAGGGCCACGAAGATGATCAGAGGGCTGGAGCACCTCTCCTATGAGGGCAGGCTGAGGGTGTTGGGGCTGTTCAGCCTGGAGAAGAGAAGGCTCCAGGGAGACCTTATATCCTCCTTCCAGTACACAAAGGAGGCCTACAGGAAAGATGGGCAGGGACTCTTTATCAGGGAGTGTAGCAATAGGATGAGCAGTAATGGTTTTAAACCGGAAGAGGGTAGATTTAGGTTAGATATTAGGAAGAAATTTTTACTGTGAGGGTGGTGAGGCACTGGAACAGGCTGCCCAGAGAAGTTGTGGATGCCCCATCCCTGGAAGTGTTCAAGGCCAGGTTGGATGGGGCTTTGAGAAACCTTGTCTAGCGGGAGATGTCTGTGCCTATGGCAGGGTGTTGGAACCAGATGATCTTTAAGGTCCCTTCCAACCTAAACCATTCTATGATTCTATGAAATATAACATGTTAAAATTGAACGCTTCAAGAGAAGAAGGTTTTGTTCAGCCACACACTTTCAGACATCTTTAATACTTGACATTTTTTCTGCATTGTAATAAAAAAAAACATCCCTGGCATTGGATTACTCTTTGTGAATGTCAAAATGACAAATCATATAGTGAGTAATGTGAAACATCCCTACCGCTCTTTTACTCTACTACTCTACTATTCGATTCTCTGAAGATACATAATGAAATTAGTATTTTCTTATCTTCAGTCAAAAAAGTCTAATAGCTGTTTTGCTAACAGCATCTAGAAAACTACAGTTAAACTGTCACTTAATTTGAATTTGAAATAACATGCACTGATCCTCCTGTAATGACAACTTAACTGAGGAGATGATTTACAAATAATAGAAAAAAACTGAAGGGGACAAATCAGTGCTTTTCATCATATTTTATATATTTTATTGCATAGTTAACCTTCTTAACAAAGCAGAACATCTGTCAAGCCACAGGCCTTTATATTACTTTTCCCAGTTTGTCCTCCAAACCTTCTCATAACCTTTGTCTAGCACTGCAGTTTGAAAGGAACAACATGAGAAAATTTAAGAAAACACCAAATTCTATCTAATCAGAATGTACTGAATTTTACAGCATCATTGTTTCTGGAGTCTTTCACAGGAGAAAAAAGATCTAGATTAAAATATTTATATATATTTTAGTGCTTATTTGTCATATGTCTGACAGAAAAGCGACACAAGAAACAACCAAAGGGAACTCAAATCATCCTCTTTCATTCAGCCAAACAAGATTTAACTGATCAATACAGTTGGCCATTCAGACCATATTCAAGAAATACTGATATGCAAGGGGATCTTATGTGCTGTCTCACTTTGGAGGGAATTCAAAGCCATGCAGCTCTACAACCTGTGTGCAGGAGAAGAGTTAGGGCCACATCCAAATTCTCTACCTTCTCAAAAAATGAATCTCTCATAGTTTCTCTGAGATTAAGGATGAAAGTAATTATAAATTGTACTGAAGATTTGTGATCGATCTACATTATCATTCTGGTGAAAGGGGATTCAGTTCCTATATTACAGGCATTCAATCATTAAAAAGGGATGTCTAACAAGGAGAAATAAAGTACCTAGCAAACTATACATTTAAAAAAAATATTTGTTAGTAGGTTTTTACATTATGGTGGTTTCGTCAAGGAGTAAAAATGTATCTGTAATTAAGAGCCAGAAATGGGTTTCCTATGTTTTATTTATCACATATGCTTAAATATAATTATACTAAAACAGAAAGATATCTGTATTGAATCAAACCAAAGATCCATCTTACTCAATACCCTGTTTCGGACAAATGTTAACAGCAAATATCCAGGAAGATGAAACATAGTAGGCAGTGCAGTAATACTTCCCTAAAATGTTTCACTAGCCTCTAGCACAGCTTGCAGCTCAATATTTCTTAAGCCACAGTGCTTCCTTTTATACTAAATAGCCTACTGGATTTTATTTCATAAATTGTCCTATCCCTTTTTTACAGCACACAGGCTTTTAGCACCTCCATCATTATCCTTTGACAGGGATTTCACAGCTTGCTTAGCACTTAAGGAAAGGGTTCTCTAAATTATGCTTCTTTCCATAGAAAACTGATAGATGGAAGGCTTGTGAATTAATTCTTGTAATTTCTGTTTTTAAATTTTCTTCTACTATATTATATACTTACTGAATGCATCTTTTGTATATCAATTATTAGTCTGAAAGGATCAATAAGTCTTTAAGTGAATATCATAAATCTTACAATTGATAATGTATATTTACATTTCAGCCCAGTGTGACACTTAAATGTCTTGCTATGCCATTCTGTTACTCTGCATCCATATTAAGTTACTAATTGTGACCAAAACAGCAAGTGACATAATGATAGCATATTTGGAGTGAATAAGAGGCTAGTTTTCAAGACAAAAGGACCGATTCTCTGGAACCTTCCAGTTCATTTGCCAGGCAGGGTATCTTTGGTTTTGGCATTTTCAAAGGATTTTCTCATTGTAAAAAAAAATATACATGCCATAGGAAAAAATTTTTTTTTTTGCAAATTAATGCAACATCATTCAAACTTCTACCACACTTAAGAACTTTTGCTTTGTCAGTGAACTGTGACATTCTCATAAATTTATACATTTTTTCTTTAAAAAAGGTGTTCCCAAATTTAAGCCCACAGACTTTGCATAAAGACTGCATAGAGACATAAATGGGCTATCTTCACAAGTATCAGCTAATCATGTTATAGCAGCTCAAAATTTCATTCAGCCACAGCAGTATCTACCTGATAAAGGACCTGTCCGACAACCAAATCTTAGCCCTGAAAGCATATTATAGATATTATAGATGCTACAAGCTACCTGGTCTGTTTTAGGGGTACAACATCACTGTATTCCATTTTCAGGTGCGACAGCAATTAATGGGAAACTAATATAGTTGTATGGTCCTCAGCCAGATATCCTAGCTACATAACAGCCCCTCATGAAAAACAAAAAGGGGGACCTTTAATTTCGACCATTTATGTTAAAACTTTATGTGAGATACTATATATGTGCAATAATTCAAACCAACATCATCACTTTTAGGAAAGTTTCAGCATTGTTTGTTAAAAATTTAAGAGTGGTTCAATTCTTAATGTTACAAATTACTATCTAATCTGTAGTAGTAATTTGCTGCATCCTTGGTAGAAAAGATATGCATGTAAAAAAGGTCTCAGGCTGATCAACACAGTGAAAGAAACACATAGAACTTTAAAGTGAGAATGTAATTATAAGAAAGAAACATTTTTCAGGTGGACAAATAACTAGAACTGAGGAGATCAGAGTTTTATTTCCTACTATGCCACAACTTTCTGCATTAACTCAAGCAAATAATTTAATCTCTCTGACCCTAATTCAAGTAATAGTGTTTAAGGTCTTTGTTGTCTCATTCATAGTAAGTGAAGAACTGAAGCAGGAACTTAGCTTTCCTAATCGTTCCATGGCAGAAAACCTGTATTAAAACAGAAAGCCTCTGACAAGAACTATAAACATATATACTAAAAGGACAAGCGTCAAAATTAATAGAAACACAGCCAAACATGGAATACAGAACTGAGGGCCATCAAATCCAGCTTTCTACCACCATGGAATGCTTTCCAACAAATCTAAAGTTAACTGTTTTCATAAACTGAGCTCTTACACTAATTTCCATGTTATTGTTCTTACTCTGCTTTTGTAAAAACAAAAACAAAACAAAAAGCTTCCATAAAACTCTGTGCTTGTTACTCCCGTTGGAAGTCTGTTCCAGATAAAACTTCTTCCATATTTCCAGTTACCATGGTTTAACCCCAGCAGGCAACTAGGACCACGCAACCATTCACTCATGCCCCAACCCCCTCCCTCAAGTAGGATAGGGAGAAGAGGGAGAAAAAGGAAGGGGAAAAAAAACCCCAAACAACTTGAGATAAAGAAAATAATAATAATGATAATAATGGTAAAAGAATATACAAAATAAATTGATGCAATACAATTGCTCACCACCCAATGACGGATTGCCCAGCCAGTCCCGGGCAGCGATCATGGATCCCTGCCCCCCAGCTAACCCCCATTTATATACTGAGCATGATGTCTATGGTATGGAATATTCCTTTGGCCAGCTTGTTCTGTCTATGCTCCCTCTCAGCTTCTATGGGAAGCTGAAAGAGTCCTTGACTTACTGGAAACATTACTTAGCAACAACTAAAACAATATGTGTTATCAACATTAATCTCATACTAAATCCAAAACACAGCAGCTGGGGAAAAAAAATAACTCTATCCCAGGTGAAACCAGGACAGTATTCACCCCTTATTCTATACCATTTACGTGATGCCAAGGACTTACATTTCTCAATAAATCACCACTAATTTTCCTGTCTTTGGGATACACACACACACACACACACACAGATATCATTCCCATCATGTTCGTTGAGTTCATTTAGTCCATGACTTTGGGCTCCATCTGTCATAACAGTCTTTCAGGGCAGGAGAGATGGTGTGTAGTGTTGAATTGTTGCATGCTGCATCTAGAGCTCACAGCTGGTATGTCTGGCACAGCCCAGACCCATGCCCATGGTCTGCGGGTTGAAGATGTCAATGTCAATCTCAAGAAAACCTCGGGGCACATGTTGCTAAAGCCAGTTCTGGTTCCATCACTGC